ATTCAAATCCCCCCTCTGCCTCTTACAGGCAGTGAGATGTTGGACAAGTCACTTATCTGAGTCTGTGCCTTTAGTACTGAGCACAGAGCAGTGGGTAATACACGCTGTTTCTCATTATCACGGTTGTTGTTACCTCTTAGATCAAGATGGAGTAGGTGCTAAGAAGTGATGGGTTTCCTTCTTTCCCATAGAATTCCTGCTACCCTCCGTGAGGGGCTGCCCATGACTTTTATTACAGAGCCGCTAATACAGTGGTTCTCAACCTGTGGGTCGCGACCCCTTTGGCAGTCAGACGACCCTTTCACAGGGGTCAGTCGCCTAAGACCATCCTGCATATCAGATATTTACATTATGATTCATAACAGTAGCAACATTACAGTTATGAAGTAGCAACGAAAATAATTTTATGGTTGGGTCACAACATGAGGAACTGTATTTAAAGGGCCAGAAGGTTGAGAACCACTGCTCTAATACCTATTCTGGCAGCCAGCCTGGACACCCCCACTGAATGGAGAACACCTGTTCCTTTTCAACCCAGAGAGAGATCCTCAGGTACCTGTTTCTGCTTTAACAGCTCACCTCACCTGGCTCTGGGGGGAAAAGAGACTGCGCAGAGGTTTTGTTGGTTTGTTTGTTTTGGCTGGGAAGACAGGTTTCTCCTTGTTTGTCCCTGGTTGGTGTCCCTGGGTTTCTGAAATAAGATTTCTGCCATCACCCACTTGTCAATGGGATGCCCTGGGACATCGGGAAGGGAAGCCATGCTCCAGCCTGGGCTGCGCTGACAGGAGATCACACCTGGCTGAGGACCAGCCACCACAGGGCCCTGATCACATGGCAGCCACCACAGGGCCTGTTTCCATGGCAATGTCTGGCTTCCAGCCTGCGAGACTGGCTTTCTCCCACCTCCTCCCAGGTAGGCACCTGCCTCCATCTCTGGCTTGGGGAAGCTGCCCATGGTCCCATCACGGACCATCTGTGCTGGCTCACCTGCAGGAGATGAAGGAAGGAGCACAGGGGCAGTTGAAAATGCCCATCCCCCCTAAATCCATCCACAGCTCCATCCTGTGGCTCTCTCCTCGCCAGGCATCTGCCCGGGGAGGGAGACAGACAGATGCTAGGGACCTGAGCTCCTGCAGTGGTGGTGCTTCCAATTGGCTCTAGAAAGATAGAAACTCTTGGGTGGAAAATTACCACCAGCTCCATTAGCAATTAAGGAAATGAGAAGAGACTGACTCAGAGCCCCCGGTGACATTGCATACTGTGTGGAGGAGTGGGTGGCTGCCAGAAGGACTTCAGAAGATGCCAGGGAGGATTGCCAACATGGGGCAGGTGCACACGTATGTGGGTTTAAGTTGTTTTATGAACAAGATTGGAGGCCAAAATATGTGTGAAAAGTCTAGACTACAGAATCACAAAATGTTAGAACTTAAATCTAGAAGGGACCTGAGTTATCACTTGATCCAAATTCATTTCACTGATGTGGAAAGTGACGTCCAGAGGCAAGTGGCTTGCCCAGGGCCATGAAGGTGGCCTGTGACAAAGCCAGGCCGGGCTGCAGGTGCTCAGCTCCTAAATGCGGTGCTCTTGACTCGGTTTATGCACAGGAGCAGAGCGTATTTAAGGCAATTCAGGGGAAAGCCTTGTATAAAGTGATTAATGAATCTATTTCCCTCTCCCATTTCTCCTTTCTATAAGTCCAGACGCTCAAATATTAGTTTTGGGCTCTGATGGGCCATATGCATAGTTACCTATGAAACATAGTTTATATAATACTTGGCAATCGCTTCTCGGCCTTTTCCTCTGATTTATTATGAAAATAAAAATCCTGGTTGTCATTAAAATGTGATATGTATGTAATATAAAATAAGGAGTTATGGTTGTCATTAAAATGTGATATGTATGTAATATAAAATAAGGAGTTACACGCACAGACTTGGTAAGCGAAAACATCTCACAGCTTCCTTTACAGATCCTTTTTAAGAACCTTTAGTTTTAATTACATGAGACCTGGCTAATTTCCTACTGATTTTAAAACCCAGGCCCTGCCCCTGGCTTAAGGCCAGAGCCCCTTCCTCTGTACACCAGGCTGCAGCAGCCACAGGAGGGCCTAGGGGGCGGGGCTCAAGGACTCCCCTTGTCCCTGCCCACCGTCCAGAAACAGAGGTACCACCGGTTGCCACACTGACTCTTCCAGAGTTTTTGCTTTGGGAGATGAGAGAAAGAGGAGTCTCTAGTTCCAACTGACTTTTCTTCTCAACAAGGAAGTCAGAGCCCCCAGAGCACTTGCATCCCTACTTGCATGTAGTCCCTTTGATTGGGTGCTCAAGCAGGACCACAAGGTGCACGCAGGCATGCACACACACAGAGCAATCTGTGATCCAGCCAATCTACTCACTCCCAGGTAGGTATCTGAGAGAAGCCTGCATAGGCATCTGCCCCGGGAGGGAGACAGATGCTAGGGACCTGAGCTCCTGCAGTGGTGGTGCTTCCAATTGGCTCTTGAAAAATAGAAACTCTTGGGTGGAAAATTACTACCAGCTCCATTAGCAATTAAGAAAATGAGAAGAGACTGACTCAGAGCCTCAGGTGACACTGCACATCCATAGCAGTTCTGTAACAGCAAAGTAAAGGTGAGGGGGAGGGGAGAGGAAGAGAGAGAGAGGGAGAAAGGAAGGAAGGAAGGAAGAAAGGAAGAAAAAAAAAGAAAAGGAAACCTCTAAGTGTATATCAACAACAGACTGGGATGGTGGTATATCAATACAATGGAATATTATACAGCAACAAAAAATGAACTGGAGCTACATATGTCTGCATGGATAAAGCTCAACATTTTAGTGTGAAGTAAAAACAGTGTGATGAAATTTAAATTAAGTTTTAAAACACATAACAATACTCTATGGCACCCAGGGCTTACATGTGCATGCAGTAAAGGGATAAAGAAATGCTTGTGGTGAGAAATAAATTCAGGATGGTGGTCTCCTCGGTAAAGGGCTGAAGGAACTTCAACTGTATCTGTCAAGTTTTATAAAGCCTGGCAGTGGTTCATGAGTGTTTATCAAATGATCACTTCTGCATTTTATATGTCTAAAATGTTAAGTGAAAAGAAGAAAACACCAGGTAGGTAACCCAGTTGGAAATTATTTATTTACCACTGAAAGGTTTTTGCTCCAAAGTGTGACACCAGACATATGACTACAATGTCTCATGCGTCTTTTTTGTGCTTCGGTTCATAATTGCAAACAAACACACTGAGCATTGACAACAGGAAACACGGTGGCAGAAATGAATCATAAGGGCTAGATCTCTTGTTTCACGGTCCTCAGCTCAGTTTGGCTTAGGCAATAGCTGCCTGCCCCCCAGGACTCCTCACATCCCAAAGGAATTGCCCCATCTTGCTCTCTACGTGGGGTGACTTGTCACTCAACCCACAGCAAGAGTCATGTCCCAAGTTGAAATGGACAGACGCGTGCAAGATCTTGACCAATAGGCACTCAACAAATAGATATTCATGTGATGTAAGAAGTGGAGCCAAGATTAATTCTTTGTCCCCATCGCCATATCTATGAAAGAACCAGATCACCGTGTGGGCAGCAGTCAGTTGGAGATGGTTTCTTACTTTATTTTCATCTCTGTTTTGTGACCTTCTTAGAAAACATGCCCTGGCAAAGGACCAGGTGTTCCTTTCAAAAAATCAAATGTGCTCACACGGACCCTATTACACTAATGTGGTAGTAAATTGCAAATGTACCTCGTACTAGGTAAGCTGATGCAAAGAGTGCTGAAGTTTTTGGATTTGGCAGTCTGATATCTCTGAATAATATAAAATTCACCAAGACGAAGTTTGGGTAGAAAAGCACAGCGATTATATTCTCTTCTATCATCAATGACATTTACACAGAGTTACAAATTGTGAGTAGGTGAATGGTAATACTCAATGTCATGACTTTCTAGGCCAACTGGGATTTCTGATGCCTGTGTCTTTGAGAAATCAGCCAGGACTCTGATTTTTATGCCAGTTGCAGTGACCTATTCTGTCTACTCCCCTATCTATCCTTTACTCATTAATTCATTCAACAAATACTGTACTTAGGGCCCATGAGCCAGCTTTGTTCAAGGTGTCAAAACACACCAGACAAAAACCCCTGTAAAATCTCTCTCATTTCTGTGCATATCTGTTAGAGAGCTGACAATTGACACCCAAGATGTTCTGTGGTGGCATTTGATTCTTATTAGCGGCAACCTTTAGTTTACAGACTCTGGAAAACTAAACCTCTGAGATCCAAAGAAATGAAAGCCTCATGGTCGAAAGAGCATGGGTGGAGTTGATATTTCTGGAATCAGAGACCCTACCCAACCCATCTCAAGCATCCTTTGGTGTAACTATAAGGCAGGTACACAGATTTGTGGAACCATATTTCCTGATTTTAAGCCTAGAATCCAGACTTTTCTAGATCGAAGTAGCAGATGTTACCAAGAAGAAAGTACTGATCAGCTTACGTAGAGAATGTTCTGTTCTCTTTTAGCTATACCAACCAAAAAAAAAGGAAACAAGAGTGAGGCGGGTGAGGGTATCTCAAAAACATGATATAGGAAATCACTAACAAATGTTTTGCCTAAAAAACTTGGCAGGAGGTGGTAAATGTTAGTGATCAAGATTTCTAATTATCTGAGAGGTTTTCTCATTAAAGAGGGATTAGATATTTTTTCTGTTTCTTCAGAGGGTAGGAAGAAGTTGTTTCTAATGATTTTCTACTTTGGTGCAGAAAGGAAAAAATGAGAACTACGGGCGATAAGATCCCTATTCAGATTCTCAGGGGGAGGCTAAGAATGACTTGTTGAGGTTGAAGGATAGCCCTCACCCATCTTGTCTAGAAATTCTCGTTTAGATCAGCACTAGGGTGACATTGGAAGGCCCAGAATGTGGATGTCAGAATTAAGGAGTCCAAATGCATTATTCATGGTTCTGAAAATGCCTGGGATGGTTCTGGCACTTTCCAGGCATTGTCAGCTGCCAACTTAAAGCTTAAAGATGATCTGCTGGTGGTTTCAGAGTTTGCTTCTAGCCAGGGAGTGCCTACAGCTTTCAAGCACGCTTTCATCTATCAATCACAGCATTTACCCAGACAGAGCTGCCATGTCATTAGTCCTGCTTAGCAGAGAGCCAACAACAGAACCCAGGAGTCCTGGTTCGAGGGCAAGTATATCCACTCCACAAGGCTCATCATTTAATTAATGATATGGACAGATATTTGGAATAATAAGGTCGGAATCTGAAACCTAGCTGCTGGTTACTTACTGATTTTAAAGCGACAGGCCCTGAAAACTGGAGTAGGAGGCACATTTGTAAAAGTCTTTGTTTCCTATTTATCTTCCTTCTCCACCTCCACGGAGCCAGGCATAACAGACTAAATTAAAATGCGCCCCAAACTGAATTCTTCCTGAAGTGGCTGGACTGCTAGAAGCGATGGGTCTATCTTGGAGGGTCACTTTGGTGATGCTGGTGGATGTGACAACTAGCGCCCAGTAACTAACAGGGGGATCCCACCCTGTCAAGGAAGGTCCCCCCAAATATAATATAAACTGATTCTGAGAGAAAACAATAAAGCTATTCAATAAAAAGTACAAATTCATTCCAAGAGCAGGATCTGAAAAGCACAAATGAAAAATATTAAGAATTAAAATAATTAAATTAAAAACCTAGAGGCTTCTAAATGTCACACTGATGGTTGAGACACCCAGTACTGGCACTGGCTGTGAAAACCTGTCTGGAATGTTGTAGAAGGGATTCCTCCAGGCACAGTGCTCCAACCTCTGCATCCAGACCGCCGACGCATGTTAAAAGGCAGGCTCCTGGGGTCCGGCCGGGAACACTGGTTTGGAATGTCTACAGGTGGGCCCGGGAGTCTGCTGGTGATGTCTTCACACTGAGGGTTTGAGAACTGCTGGATTACTGCTGCCTGGTTTGGGAGCATGACTTCATGCTGGCCGAAATGTCAACCCACCCTAACAATCTCCAATTCTATGGGTAGATCCAGGATAGTTTTATTTTCTTCATCATTTTTGAAATGCTCACTTTTAAGAAAACACATTCTTTGTATCCATTATTCCCCAAACTCAGCTTTCTCTGCATCTGGACTAACATGCCCACCCCGCACTCGGGCTGCATTGGCTAAGTGTCTCTTCTGTGACACAGATCAGCAAAATGCATTCCCCAGGGTGACCCAAATGTCCACACACTGCCCTCTCCTGCTCATTGTCAGACACGGGGGTGTGATGAGAGAGGAATGGGGTCCTGGTCTTTGCAAAGATGTCTGTCTTCTGAGTGTCATTATGAGGATGTGGCACAAAGAAGAGGTCACAGAGGACAGCTGGAACGGAAGGGGCAGGGCCGTGCCCGAGAAGGGAGGTGGACTGGGAAGCTGCTACAGGTGCAGCTGGTGCCACATGGCGATCTGCCGGCGCGGGTTTTTGAGCATCTCCTCCCAGTGGCTGCGCTCAGAGCCCGAGGCGTGCAGGCCCAGGCTGCAGTGGCCCAGCACGCAGCTCTGCCCCTCCTCCTCCTGGCCCAGCACCTCCAGCTCCACGCTGGAGGCCTGCAGCAGGTCATCTGGCAGCTCGAACATGATCATCTCATTCCACACAGGGTTGATCTTGTGCTTGGCTCGTTTTGTCTGCTTCTTTTTCAGCTTCCGAGCTTGGTGCTTTAAGGTCACCTTGACAGAGACATCTGGGCAGGGACAGAAGGGAAAGAGAGTCAGCGAGAAGGGTCAAGAGTGAGTTTCTGGGATGTGGTGAGGCCCAGGCTAATGCTCTCTCTTAGGGACGGAGAGAAAGGGTCTCTGGTTCAAGGTCTGCACTGAGACTCCCGTTTTATGCACCCCCCTCCCCACCTCCATGGGTCAGGTATTAATTCAACAATTATTCAATGCCCACCATATGGCAGACACTGGTCTAGACGTGGGAATACAGCAAAAGTCCCTGCCTCATAGAATGTTTACTCAAGTATGGAAAACAGACAATAGCATCATAGATAAGGCTGGTCATCGGGTGGCCCATGATTGTGTCATGCTAGCGGATAACCAGGGAACCACCCTTTGCCATGAGCCTTTCCAAGTGCCTGTATGTCCCACATCAAGCCAGGCCCAGGACAATGGCTCAGACATCCTGCAGCTTGATTTTAAATTCAGTCCAGAAAAACAAAGCCACCCCATGTCTTCATGCCTTTGGTTCTCCAGCCAAGCATGTTTGTCTATTATGAAGATAGTGGGTCACCTGCTGATTGGATGAGTTCTCTTTTCTTTTGTAAGTTTTACTTGAGGACTCCAACTGCACGTGGAGGATGAGGGTAGGCTGCCTTGGCCCGTGGGCATTGCACCGATAGACCTGCCCCCCTAGGAAATCCGCCTCACTCCCCACCCCCAGGGAAACAGGCCACCAGACCAGCTTTCATGTACATCAAGGCTCCGGACCCAGATCAAGTTTTCATTAGTCAAGGTTCCCAACGCTAATGTGAGAATAATTGCTCTTCTGCATTTATTGCTATAATTACCACCCCCGGGTGGTTAGTTTGTTATTTCAGCAGATATTTGAGAGACAAAGTGTTTTTGCTGTAATTGTCCTGACAGGAGCTATAAAAAGGGAGCAGGAGGCAAAGAAGTGCCTGCAGGGGATGCGGAAAAGGCACTGATGTCTGACCTTTGGCTCAGCAATCTGCAGCAAGGCCCATTCTTCTGATTTCATTCACCCAAGAGCTTTTGCTAAGAGATTCTGAACGCAGTGGCAATTCTTTATTTGTACCTACTATAAATATCTATCTATTATATGCTGCCATGAGCACTTGGCTCCGGGTCCAAGCACCATATGGTAACCAGCAATGTTTCCTGCTCTGACAAGAGAACCTGTTCGGCCCCCTGACTTGGGGGCTGGGCTGAGGTATCCAGAAGGAGAAACTGAGGCTTCCAGGATGTTGAAGAGATGTTTATTTGGGTATGTGGGGTGCAGATGCCCCAAGTTTCAGGCTGCCTTAGCCCAGGCACCCACACACCTTCTGCCATCACCCACACCCAGCTGGTGTGGGGGTGCCAGGTTGGCAAAGGCTGAGAAAAGCGAAGAGACTGGGTGGGTGTGGGGAGCACAGGGATGGCTAGTTGAGACAGGAGAAGGGAACCTGGGATGCTGACACCTGCCTGTGAGGTGGGCCCAGCCAGGTCATAAAAAGTCTGGGCCAAGTTTGCTCTCTAACCAGATACTCCACTCCATGGCTACAGCCCGACCCTTGGCTTCCTGTGACCCAGGAGTAAGACTGGTTCTTCTCCCAGTGGGTCCCCAAGGTTGGGAGTCCCTGGCAAGTATGAGCTCATACCTGGGGTCTGATGGATGGGATTGGCCAAGGGATAAATGGATACGAACTTAAAAAAGTGAGTGGGTGTCCTTTAAAAATTCATTTGAGCTTGGGGTGGAGGACACAGCTGAGCTAACTCCACAAACGTCCTCATGCCCCACCTCCCTGCTCACCTGTCCCCATTGTCTTCCAGGTGTTACCTCCCTCTGCACACATCCTCCTCTCACACCTCACTCACCCTTCCCCAGCAGCTCCTTGGACTGGTTGGAGTGGAGGTTCTTGGCTTTAATCAGCACCACCAGGAGGCGGTTGGCCGCTGGGAGGTAGCTGATGGAGAGAAGGACCTCTCCGGCTCCTGCAGAAGGCTCCTGAAACGCAAGAGAGAATGTCAGAGATGCCTTCAGTTAGGGGTGGCTCTGCCCCATCAACGAATGGTAAGGCTAGGATCCCACTCCTTGTATCCAACAGGCATCCCAGAAACCATTTACCCATCAGCACTGGTTTCTCCACCCTTGCAGGAGGGGGGCACAGAAGGATTATATGTGCATCTGTTTCAATAAGAGTTTGTTTTGTTCGCCACAAAATGTGATTTTCCAACTACCTTATATTCAAACCCAACATACAAGACAGATCAAAGGATGCCACTCAGGATGTGGCTGGGCAGAGGGTCAGGACTTCCTCTCACCCTTCACCTGCCCTTGCCCAAGTTCCTAGGGCATCTTTACAGAACGCTAGGTCTAGGGAGCACAGTGGAGAACCACCGCATTTACCCATACGCTGCCTGGGGCCGTGGGGAGTTGTGATTCATTACTCTGTTTGAAAAGATAATTCCTTCCAGCCCCTACAGAGCTGGGAGAGTCAATAATGTCATGTACTGATGCTGAGCAGGGCCCTGCTTAGTCAACAGAATGGCCAACCATGTCAACAAAAGCCAGGCATACGATGTTAGGCAATGCACCAGAGACTACCTGCAATCCCTGCGCTTGGCAGGAGGTGCGGAGGCCTGGAGAAGCATCCAAAACGTCTACCCCATCTGCAGCTTCACAGTGTCTCCCCTGAAAGTGCTACAAGAATTTATCGGGAATTTTAACAAATCCATTGAGGGACCAAAAATGACCAAAAGAGCCCCCGCAGGAGGCGGATGTCTGTCACAGTCCAACAGCGGTGCTAAGAGCATAGACCAGTGGTCCCCAACCTTTTTTTGGCCATGTCCCACCTAAGCATCTCTAAAATCCTGATGCCCCCTCCCCCTCTGTGACATATAATTCTTATCATTAAAAAAGTGAACTCCTATTCACGTGGAGGGAGCCTTACAGGCTATCAACTTGGTCTAAACAAGCTTCCAAAGAACACGGCATCCATGAAAGAGAAAAAAATAAAGGAACAAAAGGATAGTTGAAGTAGTGAGTAAGAAATTGTTTAAAAAAGTAATAATAATATGAAGTGATATGAAAAATATCAAATAAAGTTTCAAAACATATAATAGAGAAATGAGATGCATAAACATGTCACAGTATATGTTTATATACTATATATGAGGCCCCTAGAACCATAAGAAAGGCAAAAAATTCACTGTGAATCACTTCAAATTGCCCCCCTTAAAAATCAAACTGCCCCCCTGTGGGGCGTGTGCCCCACGTTAGGAACCACTGGCATAGACTCTAGAACCAGACTCTCTGGGTCTGAGTTCTAGTCCTACGATTTACTACCTATGACATCGGGCGAGTCACTTAACTTTTTCAAGCCTCCCTTTCCTCATCTGTAAACCGGGAATAATAACAGCAACCAGTGGGGTTGTAGAAGTTAACTGGGTTCATATTTAATGGCTTAGAACAGTGTCTGCCACTCAGCACTGGGGACCTGTTTGCTTTATCACCATGAGTTACTAAGGAACGCCCATCACTACTTGAGATTAAGTGGGAACAGTGTTTCTGGATGGATGGGGGCCAGTCTGGGCTTTGGGAGTGAGGCTGGTTGGAGGAGCCGGCCAGCCTTGGCCTGAGTCACACCTCTCATCCAGGAAACCTGTCTTCAACGGGACCCCAACCATTCAACTTGCCACAAGTGACTAGTCATAGGATGGAATGATTTGGGAGCTGCCAGGAACCTTGGCAATGTCATGAATCCTAGCAGCTAACGTTAATTAAACCCTATGTGCCGGGTGTAATTACATTAGCCATCACTGCACTAGGCTGTAAGCGCCACAGAGCCATCCCCAGCACCCAGCACACAGCTGACACAATAAATACTTGTGAGAAAGAAGGGCGAGACATCCCATTTAATCTTGGCAACAACTCTAAGAGCAGTACTGATTTTGTTCCCATTTTAGGTATAAGATCCTGATGCTCAGAAAAAGCAAGCCACTGCTTGAGGTCATGTAGCCAGCAAGAAGCAAAACTGAGCCTTTAACAGAGGTCTGGTCTGACCTCAAAGCCCAAGTCCTAACCCCATTGCTCTCCAGCCTCCTTGGCGTCTGCCCCAGACTCCCATTTCACAGTGAGGAAACTGAGGCCCAGGGCCTTGTCCAGGCACCAGGGGGATGGCAGCAGAGCTGGATGGGCACCAGCCTGCTGATTCAAGGGCATTTATTGGAAGTCCATGGTTGGTCTGGGCGGTAGCCACAGGGTGACCAGGCCTGAGCGCTCCACTCCCCGCAGCCCAGGTGAAAGGAGCTGGACCTGTCAGCCCACGAAGGGCTCGTCACCTTGTGTAGGTGCCAGGAGTCCCAGACAAGCCCAGCTGGCTGCACCGCAGCCAGAGGGTTTAACACCCGACCCTCGGCTCTGCTGCTTAAGTGCCTGCTGACAAAAATACAGGCATCACGGGAGATATCGCCGGTTCGGTTCCAGACCACCGCAATGAAGTGAGTATTGCAATAAAGCGAGTCATGATTTTTCTGCAGGTGGAGGGTCTTGCCTTCAATTTGTAACAAATGCAACATCTGTGGAGTATAATAAGGCGAAGCTCAATGAAACAAGGTATGCCTGTAACCTTCTTCCTTCCTCCATCCTCTCCCTGGTTTTTCCTGCCCCTCCCCCCATCTTTCTCTTGAGCTCTCAATGAATCATTCACACCGCCCTTGGAGTGGGTCACTGTATGATCCCTGGTGACGCATATGCCACTTTTGGCTGAGTGTCTTCCGGTGAGAACTGGGGCGCCGCTGCCACCTTTGTTAACCCATTCTGGGCTGCAGTGACTGAAGGCTTCATCCACCTGTTCACATGCACCCTCCAGCTGGGACCAGGACTCTCCCCTGCCACACACACTGAGTGACCCCCTACCGCTGACTCCAGGCTGCCCTCTGAGATTGCTCACATGTGCGGGAAACAGACCAGCCGGCCAAATGAGTGTGAGAGTATATTTGCGCAACAATGACAGCTACGTGTGTGGTGATTACTAGAGTGAATGAGCCATAAAGGCAGGGCTTTGTCTAACTACTGCCGTGTCCCCAGCTCCTGGCAATGTTCCTGGCACATGGTAGAAATCCAGCAAGGTATCTGTGGAATGAATGAGTGACTTACTCTTCCGGGGGAAGGATAGAAGCGGCTCTGGTGCCTGAGACTTTGCCTGTACAGGCGGAGTTCAGCCCTTTTGGGCTGGCACCAAAGTCTCTGGGGGGCGGGGGGCATCCCTGGAGAAAGCTGGTTTACCAGATGAATAAACCAAAGTGTTGGTTCTTCTTCCCAGGGCCCCCAGCTCCAACTCCTCACAAATCCCAAACCACACACTAATTAGACAGTGTGCTTTGGAGCAGCCCAGTTCCAGCTGAGGATGGCTGTCAATGTTTATCAATTTTCTGAACCTTAGAAAAAGAAAAATAAGGCAAGGAAGAGATGATAGATGGGAGCAGGTGGGAGTGAAGTGCACTCCTCACTCCGCCAGGGTCCACCTGGAAAGGTGCCTGCTGCTGGCGCTTACATGGCGTGTGGCGAGGGGACGGCATGAGCCTTACAGCCAGAGCAACCTGGCCTCACAGCAGAGCAGGCCATGTCCCAGATGGCGACCCCGCATGGGTGACTGAACAGCTCCAAGCCTCAGTCCCCTTGTCTGGACCCGGGGAGTCACAGCACCACCTGCTGCTCATCTTCCCTGCAGTGCCAGGCACATAGTAGGAGCATAGGAATGAGAAATGAATTTAAATGAGGATAATACAGCCGGCACCAGAGCCAATACACTCATAACACGATGGCAGGGGAGGGAGGTCTTTGCGTGGCTAAAAGCAAAACTAGACACCAGGAATCCCAAATCCTGGGCTGTGGTTCTGCTCCAGCTCACTTTTTAAGACTCCAGTCTTCCTTACACACACACACACACACACACACACACACACCATGAGCATGAGCACTGGCCCAGTCCTGCCACACCATGCTCCACTAACTGGTTTTATCTGTCCTGGGGAGAGATAACCCTACCTTAATTGAAGTCTTCAGCTCCCCCCACTGGGCGGCCCCCAGAGGTACGGACACACCATCCAGGCCCAGGCGCAGCTCCCCAGCCACACTGTGGCGGGAGAAGCGGTCACAGGTCCTCAGGGTCAGCGTCAGGGTCGCTGTGGGGAGCTCCTCCTCTGCCAGGGGGAGCACCAGGCCTTCCTCCCAGGTGGTGTGCAGCTCCCGTTTCTTCAGGGCTGTCTGGGCCTCCACAGAGCCTGTCCTATTGGCTACGCTGCCTTGGACATAGCAGTCACAGCCTCCGTCGTGGTCACTGGTCACGGCTGCAGCCAAGAACAAAGCAACACAGACGGAACTTCTTGAGAAGCCAGGGAGGGGAGAAGCATGGCCCTGCTTGGAGCTGCAGAATCTGGCTTAACGGCCATGACCTCAGGTGTGTGGAGAAAGCCCAGGGCTGACCACCCTGGCTTTGTAGAATCACCTTTCAGAAAGACATTGAGAGAGAGCTCTCTCGCCTGAGGGGCCAACGTCAGCACGTGCTGGTCTTCCTTGGAGAACAGGGACAAGACTCGGTGCTTCCCAGAGCCCTTCCCACCCCATGAGCCTGAGATTTGGCCGAGGTGATGATTTATCAGTGTTGCTGCTGACACCGTGATCGTTTGTTCTGTGATTTGGATGTTTGTCACACAACCACTTGTGAAGTGAATCACTGAGTATGTTGTTTTATATTCTGAGCCTTGGTGTTTTCAATGCTTCTCAATGAGGAAATGTGCACCTGTGCTGCTTTTACGACTGGTTCCCAATGATAACATGAGACGCCGTAGCTGATGTTCCCCAGGAAGAGAAGAACTGAGGCCACGTGTCCTGATAGAAAGAACCCCCCACTGAGCTTCAAGGGACTTGGGTGCAGTCCTGGCTCTGGCACCAATAGTTGGAGTGATCTTAGACAAGTCACCTGATGTTGCTAGACCTCAGTTTCCTAATGTGCAAAATGGGACCACTGTGAAGACCAAATGTAATAAAGTACATAAAAGTGCTAAAAATCCTTTAAAAATAAAAAGGAGAGATACTCCCTCAAAAAATTAAATTAAATACAAAAATCCAATTTATCCAGCCCCAGCTCCCAGGAGCCATGGAGTAGCCCATTGTTACCCCTGATTCCTTCGCAAAGTTTTCTCTTTGTTTGCTGATAGTAACCTGAATTGTCAGGGTAGAGAGACCAGAGACAGCCTGACCCTCTAGGAAAGACCACCTGATGCTAGGAATACTGACCATTCAGAACCCGCTCTGTGTCCAGCACAAAGCCCTATCCAATGTCAAAGGCACCCAAGGCAGAGATGGCTTGCTGTTCATCAAAACCCCATTTCTTCTTTTTGCTGGGCACCTGTTGGACCACATTTCCCATCCTTCTTTGCAGTCAGTGGCCATGTGACTGATTCCAGCCAATGGGATGTGAGCAGGAGTGATGCATCCCACATGCTGGTAGTTTTTAAGAAATGGTTGTGCCCTCTCCCTGTTCTCCCCCTCCTTCCACCTGCTGGATACAGATGACAAGGGGGCCCAAGAGGATTGTGAAGCCACAGATGGAAGGAGCCTGGTCCCTGAGTCACCATTTGGAGGAAAGATGTCTGCCCACCAGGCACCTCCACTTTGGACTGACACTTTGGAGAGACAGAAAAACCCCTGTGTGTCTGAGCATCACACGCTTCAGGGTCTGCTTGCTACAGAGTGCTAATCTAGCACCAGCCCCCAGCTGTGGGTGCTTCCATCCCTCTCCTGCTCTCCTTACCCCCCAACTCCCATGCAGCTCCTCCAGGGAGACAGACCCATAGAAGTCCCTGAACATTAACTGAGAGCTTACCTTCCAGGCAAGTCACGAACAGCTCCGCCTTCTGCTGGTCATACTGCAGGCAGTAGTGGAGCTTGGGGGCTTGGTTCCAGCTGGCAGCCTTTGCTGGGTTCCAGGTCTCCATGACACAGACATCCTCCACCACACCTGTTAAGAAGGTAAAGCCGTCCCTGCCACCCACGCTGGGGTCCTCTCTTCCCGATCACACCCTTCCCATCTCTGCCATCTATGCCACCAACCCAAACCCGACGCTTCCCGGCAGGTGCAAAATCATGGTGGCAGCACCTGTGTCCCTGGGCCTTGCATTTCAAGAGACCGTCACAGCCCAGTGGTCCGACATGAGCTGCTAATAGTTATATGACCTTGAACAAGTTGCTTGATTTCTTTGAACCTCAGTTTCCTCATCTTTCCAAGAGAATGATAATAGTTCCTTCTTCTTAGAGCTACGGTGAGTATTAAATAAAATAAAGTGGGGAAAGTACTTAGCCCAAGGCCTGACCCGTGGTGAGCTTTCAGTAAGAAAAACTGTCATAGCCTGTGTGGTTCTGGTCACCCTGTTTCAGGCGAACCATCCCCACCCCATCTCTGGCTCCACCTCTCCCACAGGGTGCAGGCTCTGTTCCCCAGTAATTCATGGCCGGACATAAATATCAAAGAATGAGTCAGGAGGAGATGCTGGGGCAAGGTCAGAGATAGTGGACTTGATTTTTGTGCATGTTCAATAAGCACTTGCTGATTAATTCAGAAGTTCCTAAAACCAGAACTACTTCTCGCTCTGCCCCGCACTTGAATAGGAGCCAAACATCTGGAAGACTCTCGTTATTCAAACATAATACAGGAAGGAAAGGATCTAGCAGCTGCCGCAAACTCTACTTTAAGCAAACTGGAATTTTAAAATTATTTTCAGAACTAATTTAGAGGGCATAAACATAAAGGAGTATTTAATTTCTAAAATGGTTCATTATCGGGTTCCTGCAAGTAGTGAAAAATGTCCCTGGTGCATCTAAACAAGAAACAGATTGGCTAGGATGTGAGCAATGTGTAAAGTGAGATACACATGCACACAGGACCCGCTGGCTTCCAAGGGCACCGCAAGGATAACCACAGCAAGGTCAGGGTCAGAGGGGGCTTGTTGGGCACCCAGAGCTCGCAACCCTCAGACCACCTCAGCCTTCAAAATAAAAACCAAACCAAAGCCAGCACCACTTGGAGAAGCATGGGGTGGATTCTGCTTCAGAAATTGGGACTCTGAGCTGTACACCTGAACCAATACAAAATAAAATTGAAAAAGAAATGGGAACTTTGGGCTCTACAAGCAGCTGATGAGGACTGTGGCCTATGGGAGTAGATACCTCCAGCATATCAGGGGCACAGTGTCTGAGGGATCTGGCATCCGCCTCCCCTCTGGCCCACGCTTGCTGAACCAAGCAACTCTTGATAGATTTCTGTGGAATCAGAACTTGGTTGTTGCCTTATGGGATGCAGAAATGAATGAGGAAACATGCAAAGGAGAAGACAAACTAACGTGTTTTGAATTCTTCAAAGTTCCAGACTCTGATTTGCTCGCCTGCTCTCCTTGGTGGAGTGTCCAATCCTGGCTTTATCTGAGCTTTCAGAAATCGGGGGCTCCCAAGAAAAGGGAGCCCATCGCGATTATGATTATAATTAGCACCCTCAAGGGTCCTCACGCAAATGGTTTTCCTCCCAACCTTAAGCTCTCAGGTCTTTTTTCTTTTAATATATTTTATTGATTTTTTACAAAGAGGAAGGGAGAGGGATAGAGAGTTAGAAACATCCATGAGAGAGAAACATCGATCAGCTGCCTCCTGCACACTCCCCACTGGGGATGTGCCCGCAACTAAGGTACATGCCCTTGACCAGAATCGAACCTGGGACCCTTGAGTCCGCAGTCCGACGCTCTATCCACTGAGCCAAACCGGTGAGGGCGAGCTCTCAGGTCTTCGTGGGTGTATTTAAGATGTGGGCTGGCAAACCTGGAAGCTAAAAGCCAACCAGGATTCATTCGCGCCACGGGCACTCCGGGCATTTGTTCTCCAGGAAACGCCAGGCTGATCACTGTGGTTCTGAGCCAGGTTGGAGGGGCGCTGGAGCCAGGCCAGGACATGTGTTAGGAGGGGGGTCATGACAAAGCTGGTTATGCTGCTTCTGCTTCTACTGTCTCCACCTCCAACCACACAAACAAAACTCCAAGCCACACAATCCCTTCTCCCAGCTGTAGATGTCACCTCCTTATAAAAGCCTGCCTGTTCCTTTGGGTTAACTGCGTGCTGCTTCGCATCCCTGCCCCAGTGCCCAACACAGCACTGTCACCGAAAGGAGTTGCATTCTTGATGTTGATGTTGATGAGTAGAATAGAAACAATAGCAACAACAATATATTTGTATGACCTCCTAGTGCCAGGCCCTGAGCGAAGCACTTTATATGCATTGTTTTATTTATACTTTACAACTTTACCGAGTGGGCAACAGTATGAACCCACTTAGAGGTGAGGAAACTGAGGCCCAAAGAATTTAGCAACGGCACCAAGGCCACACAAGTATATAAAAGGGCAGAGAATTTGACCCATGACTCTGAACCCATGGCTTTAACCACGACTCTTTAACCCCTCTCTCAAATTGTATATATGACTTGAAAGGCAATTTCCATTTCCCAGTGCAAAGCTACGGGCTTTGGGGAGAAGCAATGTGGCAATGTGTCAGCAGGAATAAAGGACTGTGATCCTGAGGCCCTGTGCCCACCTGCTTGCCCAGGGTCAAATGTCACAGACACTGCAGCTGGCCACACCTAGCATCTACCCAGACACTGACAGACCCCCTGAGTGAGTGTCGCTCATGGAGCAGTGAGTGCAGCAGACCCCTACCATTCTGAGGAAGGATGAACAGCTCCTCCGTGACCTGCCTCTTGAGGCGGCTGTCATTCGGGGCCTGGGGGCTGGCGGATGCAGCAGGCTCCTCTGTGGTCCTCAGCGTGTAGTCTGCGTAGTTGATAACCTCCGGGGCCGTCACAGATGGCCTGGGGCCGTAAATGTCTGGGAACCTGAGGAGGGCTCGGGGCTGCACGGGCTCCGTGGACTTTTTAACGTTGAACTGCAAACAAACCACCTGGTTAGTCTTCCAGAAGACCTCCTGCCTGATTTCCACCCACAGAAGGGGGTAGTGATGACCTGGCCTTTCGTGGGAGGCAGAGCGAGGGCTGGGGTTCCCTTCTGCTCTGAGAGGTGTGACCTGGGAAGCAAAACGTCATCTCCAAGGCCACCTGAATCTACTATATTAGTCAAGTCAGGGTCCACTGATGTGTCAGCCCTGTTCATCCATCCCCCCTCCATCCATCCTATGGCTGAGTCCCCAGGTGTTAGCTGGGCCTGTCGTAGGTAGTCCTCCCTCTGCTGCTCTCTGTGCCACTTGCTTCTTTGATTTCTCTCTTTATTTAAGCTGGCTTGAATTGGGGTTTTTGTGACTTGCAGCCAAGAGCAACCCTAAACTGATGTACTGCATTTTTAATAAGCATCATAGGAGGTCACGACCCTGGTGTAGGGAACTTCTGCCTAGAGTCAGATACCACCCCCTCCCAACCCCAAACCTCTCTGCATCCGGCCAAAGGCATCCTCATTCGCTGTTTATCCTGGCCCTGCCTTGGTAAGGTCCTGTGGGTAATGACTGCCCTTGGCGGAGGGTGCTTTATAGCCCTGGACTGGCTGAGAGCAGTCTGATGACTAGTGCATGAGCCTCTTCAAGCAGTGAGAGCAGCGGCTGATTACTGATCTTGTTCTCTTGTACAGTTCTATGGATTGCATTTCAAACCCTGGTTCTACCACCTCGTTCAAATGCATCTATGTTTCCACTTAAATGGCTTAAACTTCAGTGCCCAAGAAGCAGAAAAGAGGTTTGGGAGTTGATGGAGGGAGCCTGGGAAAGGATTATAGATGGAGAGGAAGGAGGCGGGCAGGGGGACAGACCCCCATGGGAGGACCTGTGCCTCACACAGCGACCCAGCCGAGGCAGGACTTGGAAGTGGGGATTCTCTCTCTAAATGTCCCATGACCCCAGGGGAGATGGCCTGGGATCAGATGCAGGATGGGTCGGGGAAGGTTTCCAGGCATTCAACACTGAGTGAAGGTCCCGCTGTGCTTGGCACTGCAGGCACAGAGCTGGAGGAACACCCTCGGATGGGGCACCAGACCCTCCAGTGTGTCTCCTTGGATTCGCCCTGTCTATATGTCTCTGGGCCTTGGGCCACCTCCTTCTCCCCACCACAGCCAGCTCTGCATGGACTCCAGCAGCTTCAAGTGGGCACAGCCTCAGTCACACCCATGCCCCCGCCCTGGGGCTTCTCAGTGGCTGCTGAGGTGTGAGGCATGCAGGGACATGCTGTGTCTGCCCCAGGGTCACCCAGATGTGTTAAGAGTTAAAACTCCATGGAGGGCAGGGGGGACTTGACCACTTCAAGCTGGAAGCCAAACACAGCACTCTCTTCCTTCCTCCTCACTACCCCTCCCAAGAGTGGCTTCAGCAGCCTTTGGAAGATGACACCTCCCAGATCCAGCAGTCGCCCTTCACACCAACTGGTGGCTGGCTCAGTAAGGCCCTGGGCCCTGTGCGTGCCTTCCCTTCTTCCCTCCCTCCCGCATCCCTGGATAGAGGCCTCTGGCAGGCTCAGCTTTCCTGTAATCCAGGCTAAGTAAGACTAATGGCACGGGGTGGGGGAGGGCAAACCTTCATTTACTGAACAAATATTTATTGAGCCCCAGTACAGGCCAGATCCTGTGCTAAATGTTAGGGAAACAGAAGTGACAAGACAGATGCTGTCTTTCCCTATGAGGCTTATGTTGGGAAAGGAGAAATTAATTATGTAATTAGTGAACTGGAAACAAACATTTAACTTCACAGAGATGTGAGGCGACCCCTTTTGTGACATGAGTACTTTTCTCACCTAAGGACCGTTTACTGATTTGGGTTTTCACGTTGGGGCTCCATTGTAAAGCATCCCAGGAAGTCCCAGGAAGGGGGAAGCAGACTCAGCTCGAAAAGGGGACTGATGGCTTTGCTCCTTATACTTGAACTTTAAAAAGGAGAAGGAAGAGATGGACACAGCCTGTTTGAATGATGCCAAACATGGGCCATTGCAGCTGGGGTCTGCAGCTAAGCATGGTGAAGCCCTCATGGGGAGCTGGGCCAGGAAAGAGGCACCCGCCACCCCCGTCACTCTGGGCTCTAATACTGGTCGGTACACACACTAACATGTGTACAGGAGTTTGAAATAGAACCTGGTGGTCAGTGTGCAAGCTTGGCTGGAGTCCAATGACTTGCTACTTAAATCTTGGGTCTGATGAATTAATCTGTGTCCCCAGTTACTTCATCTGTAAAATGGGGATGTTTACTCCAGGGAACGAGAAGTCTTCAGGAGCAGTGGGGAATTTTTCTTGAAATTTCTAGTTCTGTCTTAAAATTCATGTGACGTTTTGTATTTGACTCCATAAGATTGTTTTAGCATGAAAAGTTTCCCCTGCTTATTTTGTGACTTAGGATATTCACAGGACACTAGCTGGCACCACAGTCTCTCTGCTCACCCCTGCCCCCACTCTCCCCTAATGGACAAGCAGGACTCGCTCTCCCTGTGTTGGCCAATATGTGGTAAATGAAGCTAGAAGTGAATGGAAGAAAAGTAATTTTGCCTCCATGGAAAGATCAACTCCTAGATGCCGAGTCTGCATGGGAACAACCCTCTCTCCAAGTTTTCCTTCCGATCATATAGATAACTCTTCTAGAGAAAATTGGGTGGGGAGGGCAGCCATATACATAGATGCTCTTAACTAACATAAAGACTTGACTCCCTCTGCCTTTTCCTAGAGCATCCTCACACACACCCACAACTGCTTGAATCCTCACAGTCAGCAGATCACTTGTTAACAGCCTTGTATCAGTCAGGAAAGGCCAATGCTATGTAACAAACAATCCCTAAGCCTCAATTCCTGAACAAAATAAGAGCTGGTTTCTCACAGTCTGAAAAGAGTCTGCGGGTTTTTCTTCAATTCAGAATGCCAACCTCTTCTACCTTGTGTTTCTGTCCATCTGTGTTCTGCACTGTTCAGATGTGAATTCAATGGATCCTCATACTAACCCTATCAGGAAGTGCTACCATGATCAATCCCATTTTACAGATGAGGACACATTGCCAGCTTTTGAACAGTAAAGGTTTGATTCAAACCCAGGCTGACTCACTCCAGAACCCTATGTTGAGCCACTCTGTTGTGCTTCCAGCCCCTTTACCTACCTCCTCACATTTCTAGTCACACTTTACCACTCACCCATGCGTTTGTGCCACTTAAACTGATGCCTGGGTCACTGCCTGGCCTACCACCTCTTATTCTGCCTCTCCCCCTCCCCCCAGCACCTTCAGACAGAGGAACAGGCTTGTAAACGCTGGTGCCCACATTTGGTGTCTTAAGTTTCACCTGGGAAAATGTAAAATTCAGATTCCCAGAGCAACCCCTCAAGGGGTTTGACTCAGAGGTTTTAGGTGGAGCCTGAGGAATCTGCATGTCTAAGAAGCTCCTAGCATGACCATGATGTGGGCACTCCCGGAGGCTCAGATGAGAATGCCCGGTTTGAGAAAGGTTGGGTAGATGTAGAAATGTCCTCTGGCATGGTGAGCTGCTCACAGGCACAGCCTCCCCATCTCTTAATCAAGTCCTTTCGGCTCCCCACAAATATTTGTCTGGTAGATCTCCAGAGCCCAGGGGGCTGCTGGGACCAGATCTCTGCTTCTTGGCTGCTTATCTGCCAACCCACAGGGTCAGGTCCCAGGGGGATAGCATATTTCAAGCTGCAAAGTTGAAATTTACTTTGAAGCAGCTTATCTTCTGGTCCATGCGCCAAGCAGTGTTTCCATGGCAACCCTGCCACCACATCATCTTTTGTTATCCCTTCCAACACCTCCTCTTCTGTTTATTACAAGTCTGTGTCCCATCCTTTCTCAAATCCCTTCCCTGGAGACTCACCTCCTGCTGGTCTCTTTCCCCTCAGTGATAATTATAAATCTAAAAGGGCTGGCCAACCACAGTCTTAACCCCTAGCTGCTACTGTTGGTGGGTTAGCCCTGCTGTCAGTCGGGTAAATGTGCCTCTTCCAACCAGGCAGGAATGAGACACAGCTGGGAATGACAGCCAGGCCCAGTGCAAACCCTGTCTCTGCTGGTTGCCATTCATCCAATCTTTTGTTCAGTATTTATTAAATCTCTAAGATGCTGGTCAGCTGCGAAATAACACTGTCCAATCATTTTCCTCGTGGAGTGAGCATGGCCAGTGGAGTAGGGAACAAGAAACCAGTAGATTAAAAAAGGCAATTTTAGATAGAAGTACTATCGAGACAGAGACAGATGGGAATGGGGTGAGTAGACAGAAGAGTTGTGTCTACTAAGAATTTAAAGGCTTCTTTACCCCAAATTCGTAGGAAAATCATATCTAGAATTAATCATCTTACCCATAGGTTTCCATTTAAACCTTACAACCTCATGAGGGAGGGATTACTGTTATACCACTTTATAGAGCCAGTGTTGCTAACCACACACTGAGGCACAGAGGATATAAGTCTAAAGTCACACAGTTAACTAGACACAGAGCTGGGATTTGGACCCAGGCATGTGACTGTGGAGCATATAGGTTTCCCAGATCATCCATGCACTTCCATGCCTGCGTCAGACCAAGGAACCAAACATTCAATAATCGGTTACCTTTCTAAGGTCTTGGGGAGATTTAAGGAAAAGCATGCTGGGGTTGGGGGAAGATGTCCCACCTCCTACCCCAGCCATCTATTCATTTATTCCATCAGTTATGATTCAACATTGAGAACCTTTTATGTGATGGAGGCCATGAAAGACACTGGTCACTGCCCTCACACAATATATGGGTGGGGAGGAGTGGGCAGTGGAGGGATTAGTATAATAACTGCTATGATGGAGACCAGCAAAATTTGAGACAGAGAACATAGAAACACATTAAACTTTGCCTGGGGAGGGTGCATGGTGCAGTGTGTGTGTTGGAGACAGGTGACTTTAAGGAAGATTCAGAGGCTCTGACTCTTGGTAGGGT